TTTTTCACTGTGCTTTTGCACAGCATTACATAACTTTCTCTCTAGTGCGAAAGTGGTAGCCAAAATGATAATTGATTATAACCAAATTATATTTTATTAACTAAAAGGGTGGTATCTAGTAAAAATATTACTTTTAAAAACCATTCTGGTTTCTGACACTCAATTTGAAGTAACAACTGAACAGTGGGTCAAACAGCAATGCTGGGGCAGGAAAGAGGCACAAGACAAGAGGCACAATTTCAACAATTCAAAGAAACCCATACACAAGCAATCCTCTATATATAGTCCTCCAAAAATAAATTATATAATTAAACTATTATTTTGTTTAAAGCTTCATCTTAATGGACATCACTAAATCGTTAACATAGGAGCTATGGTGTTGGCTGCCTCCCATGACCCACACAATGGCTTAAGAAATTGGATCATTAATGGACAAATAATGGAACATATCACAGGGTATTCGGATGCCTACAAGAAACTTCCTCTGCATTAATGCCACATGTGAACAAATGTTAAATTCCTAGTCTGAATCCAGTGCACTACTATGCCACTCTAATTCAATTAACTAGTGACCTACATCTGCAAAAATGCTGCTGTTAAGCGAGTGGACAATAAGGATCTGGAGCAGTGAAAATTGGTTGATCTCAATTGGCACACGTGAAGATGGAAGCTTCTTTCTTTGTTGTCGCACATCAGTCGTACCGAAAGCAGTGACACACTGGGTTCGTTGAATGTAGTTATAAAATCAGTTTGGAGAAATTGCAGTTTAATATAAACCAATTTGCGAATTTCAGTGAAGATCTAAATTCTTTCATTGCTTCATAAATTTCCTGAGTTCCTAAAAGCTCTTATATCAGCTCTTCTTCGCTCAGCGTTGCCATTGAAACACCCATTTTAATTGTAACAAAAATCAGTTATCAGAAACCAATATTTTAAACATTTCTACAGAACAACACTCCATTTTAGTAATTATAATATCATTTGGGATTCGTTACCGTTTCTACTTGTTTGTCCACTTAGAAAATTCTTTCAATACTCAATATTTAAAACTCTGTTCTCTACAATTTTCTAGAATATTGTTCATGATAAAACTGATTTAAAATTAAAAGAATTCTACACCAGAACAGTTTCACCCCAAGCAATAGCCTATAAAAGGTGAGTTCTGGAATTCATGTGTGAAATCCAGAATAGTTTGCATTTCTGCATTGAATGGAACATAATAGGTAAAGTTCTGTTAGGAATTAGAATATGAAAGTGGCAATGAATGGTGTCTTTACCCACTGTTGTATGGTTAAAAAAGAGGAATAGACGTCTTTCAATATCTCTCATTCACTGAAATGAAATCTCATGAAATTTCAACCAATGACGTTAAGAATATAGACCATACAAACCAATCAGAGACACATTATGTAAAATCACATTTCCATTAACACCTAATAAGTGGTAATTATTGCTGTTGTTTTCTTTACAAAGATATCTTATATGATTTTACTAATAACTACACATAGCATTTATAGTATTTTCTCTTTCTCTTAGTTACTGGAACATCTTTTTCTCCTCTCCACCAGGGTTCATGCATATCAGTTTAATGCATATTTTAGAACATTCTCTGAATAAATTTTGTATATTGATTTTCCTGGTTTTTTTTTTCATGAATTGGACACTCTTATAATATATTCTTAAATACAGCATGCCATGAAAGTACCTCCCTACTGAGCAGAATCGTGGATTAAAAATTACATTTATTTTGGTAGCGACCAGATTACTAGGAAATAAGTAAAGTGTTAGGTGCGGTAATTGTCAAATGATGGTCAGTGTATTTTGTGACTGCCTAATGATAACTCTGTGCATGCTTTTAGACTGAATACAGAGACAGTACAATTATTTTCTGGTTATTGTGTTAACTATTGAAGAAAACATTTTTGGTGGAAAACTTTTTTCACAAAAGTAGCCAGTTTATGGAAAATTTAAAATTACAATATTGTGCTAGTTTTCTTTATTCAAAGTGTCCACATCATGATTATGTTATTGTAAAATAAGTAATGAAGTTCATGAATAAGTAAATTTTGTGTGGCTAGTTCAGTTCAGGTAGACAAACAATTTTAACAGATACGTTGTTGCATAGTACTATGAAATCATATCGAAGCACAAGAAACCGGAATCTCTAAGTAGGCAGCACATACAGCTTTGTAAGAACTTCAGTTGATTCACTATAAATTTATGCTGATTCATGTATTAATAGAAAGTAACTAAGAGAAGTAATTATGTATTGTCAGTCAATTCAACTGTCCATTGACATGGGACTTGAAATTTTAAGGGAGAGACACAGAGAGCATATGTGGTTACATCACTTCTCACGTTCCAAGAATTTAATCTTTACATAATTCCAACACAATAAGAGAAATACCATTGCATTAGTAGAAAATCAGCTTGAGAATTGCCATTTCATGGGAGCAAATAATGGGACCAAACCTTTTTTTTCAGAGCAGTGAATTCAGATGTTACTGTTTCAAGAAAATTTGCAAAGCAAAACTAAATTGAAAATGGTTTCCTTCGGCAAAGAATTGCTACTGTACATGCATCCAACCAATAACTTGTTTTTTTGGGGAGAAAATAACTACAGGACTCTGGCCTCCATGATCCCCTGACTTAACTCACAGACTAATTCTTCCAGGGCACAAGTAAGTCTGCTGTGTACAGAAATAATCCAAAAACAATTGGCACACTTGAAACAAAAAAGGTTAATTACGTACAGTCAATAACTTTTACTGTCAACACTTTTAATTAGTTTCCAGCAAATGTGTACACAAGTTGAAGCATGCCTACAACAATATGTACACTTCCAATTATGTTATCATTATGGAGAGTATGAAATTTGCTTTCTTTTTGTTAGAAGCTGGAGTTTGTGCTACCAACATAATTTCCTTTTCTAGCATACTCACCCATTGTGCCACTGTGGAGAGACTTGCCTGTTGCAGCATACATTACATGTTACATTAATTCCTAAATATATACTTTTCTTCAATAATTTTTAATTTAATCTGGCATCTGTCAGTCCATGTTGTCTAGTTCGAATTTGTGTTAGAAAATACCAAATAAATTATTATTATTTTTGTAGATGACTTTGGTCGAATCATTATCCAATGTTCTGCCAATAGCTTCAGCTAGTCATTTGATAAATGTAATAGTTCTGGCATTTTTTGTTTTCAGCTTCTGTGGTTTTACTATTGCAATTCATTCTTTTTATAACTTGCCTTAGTAAAATGGATTGCCACACATACAAACCTCTCACAATTGTACAATTAGATTTCTCAAAAACACACCTTTGGGATGATCAGCAGATATTTCTACACCTTTTTCTGTCAAGGGAAACAGCAGCAAAGACAATACTTCAATTTGATGACCATCTTATTTACCATATTCTTTGAAGATATTCATGAGAAATTGGTAAGATGTGCTATGATTGAAACATTTTTGAAAGAAATACATACCGTACTAATAATGTTAAAAATAAATTTAACTTACTCTTATTACTTTATACTGCTAAATGTTAATGGAAAATTTAATGTGCCCTTCATTTGATTTCTCTGCACCTAAGTGCATATTGAATTGTACTAAGGACTGGATTGTGGTAATTTGCAAATGTCATTACAAGAAGGCCTATACGCCAGAGAATGTTTTACAGCTTACAATAATGTTAAATCATATCTACATGTAAAGCATTATGTTACACAATAATATGTAAACCAGCTATTATCTAACACAATATGTTAAGAATCAAAATGCTCTCCCTGGTATTTAAAACCAACATTGTGCAACAAAACAAAATGAAATTTACTTGGTACATTAAACAAGTCAAGCATACAAAATACATCAAAACTGCTCCAAAATATTTTCACATACGCTAATGTCACAAATCACGACCCATGTCTTTTGAATTATGTGTAAAATCATGCTAATACGAAGATGATAGGATACAAATAAAGCAAAATTATACTAAAGGTTAGTAATACATCGCGAGTGATGACAAATCGTGAGCGCGGGAAAACCAGTCAATTTTGCTACCATTTCACCAAAGAAAATGTTCCATTATTGTTTACACATATACTTCAGAACTGCACTTAATTTGCAATTATACTGTAGGTAGCAATGTTGCATAAAAATTTATTTAATATTGCGGATAAATATTAGTTATAAGTATCTTCTTAGTATCTTTTGGGTGCATTTGCACATCGTTGCACAAGGTAATCAGGACCAGTCACCAATTCTAAGGAAGAAACAAAACTATTGTCGTGTATATCTTAATTAGTATATGCCTTCTTTTTAAACCAATTACAGACATTTTTTTCATACTTACGCGATTTTGTTATATCCAATATCTCAGCTTGTTTATATGGATATTTGGCGAGTGAAATAATTTTGGTGGAAATATTCAAGGTTTGGAGCGTCAATTGACCTGGTAGGTTACGTAGGTTACTGAGCCTGACTGAAAATATCTGCCGGCTTAAATGTTATACCCTGCACAGCATTTACTATTCTTTGTAAGTTGTTTGTTTTGTTTCTTGTTTAAAATATTGCAATTAATTTGTGATGAAGAGTATGTGTGGTAGTGAATCGTCTTCAGTGTTTATTAAGCTTTGTGTGTGTCACACTTGTAATGCATGTCATATTTGCTTTGGTGACAATTTTAAGTATTTATGCGGTTCAAGGAGGTTACCTTTTCCATTTTCTTATTTAGGATTCCATTAGAAGGGAATTTTTCGAGAGGAAATAGAATTAAAATTCCAGAATTTAAAAATTTATTCAGTTAATTAATGAAGCAGGCCCCTTAAAATTGAAAGCAAAACATTCTTACACTTTTGAATGAAAATGAAGGTAATGAATAATTTTTATCAGGGCAAAAGATTCCAATGTATTTCATACTCGTACATCATATTAACTGATATTAAGTTTGATCCATGTCTGCATTGAGTTTTTAATCCTTTTTGCACACTTTACAGACCTAGTAAACAAATCGTATGTGAAGAACTAAGATATTGTTATGCTGATGTGAATGAATATTGTGTGAAGTACAGTAGGACTTACAGAGAAACAGTTTAACTTCAATAATGTCTTCCAAATCTGTGATTCCTGTGCTTCGTTCTTTGTTGTCTGAGTATCGCCAAGCTAGTTCATATACAAAGTTGCAAGAATCTCCTTTGGTGTCATTCATTCTTCAGCAGTATAAAAAGTACAAAGTTACTGATCAACAACTATGTAAAGCCCAAGAAGAGATGAATTTCATAGCTGAAAGCTATTTGTGTTATTTAAAAAGTCAACGTTGTTATGAAGAAAAATGGAAAATGTATCATGCCAAGGGAGAACGATCTGTGCGTGATACAGCAGACTTAGTAGGTTTTAAACTCCCTCATGATCCCAAGTAGAAATAATTTGTAGAATACCAAGTTCCACTTCTGAATCATACACATGTATACATTGATCATCAAATTTTGTTGTAGATATCATAACAGTATTTACTGTGAAAACTAAGTTTGAAAATAGAGATGTATATAACAATTTAAAATGCATATAAATAAATTGCATTGTAAATTTAGTGTTTGTCTTATTATTTGTTCCTAGAGCTATGCTTATTCCTATGCCATTGGAACTTTTGAAGCAAGGTACATCAAGTAGGGTGGGAAGTAGTAATGATTCTTTTCAAAAAAAAGTGGGTAAATTTAATGAAATTTGACAAGCAAAGACAGTTTGCCAAAATTCTTTTATTTACTAAATACATTTCCAGTTTTAAAAGGACTGTCATTGTTAATAACAATTAGTTAGTGCTCTCTAGTGGTGGCTGATGGTTATAGCTCCATTGAACAATGGAAATGTAATTTCCAAAATTCAGAACATTAAAATATCACAAAAAAGCAAGCATTTGATGTAAATTTATTAAAACCTAGTTTAATTCTATGTTCTGGTCAAGTCTATAATCAAACATTTACATAATTTTATGGGTACTGTCTGTGTTAGGTATGTCCACCTCCCGTTTGATATCCAGTTGGGTCTTGACTTCCAGAATTCTGCATTGGAAAATTACTGGTAATGGAATTTGTAGAAAACAAAAACTATGTTTCGAAAACACGGTGATCGTACTCAAGCATGCAACAAGCACTACTGTTTGGACACGTTTTACACGAATTCTTTTTACGATTTTAGTTGTTATTGCTGGCATTAGTACTAATAACAAAATTATTTTTTTTTCGAAATATTTTATTTCGAAAATTTCACGACCCAGATATATATTACAATAAAGAAAGGTTTGTATTTTTTCAGGAATATTCTGTTGAATCGGGAGAAATATTTCCTTGAAAAATGTCATCAACCAGCATCAACAACCACTATCAACAATTTAAACTGTACTCGTCCGTCCGTTTATGCACAACGCAATCGCATGAACCGTTCAGCCGATTTTCTCCAAAATAGATATTCCCCAATCGTTCTGGCATATGTCGCGGCCACTGGAATTAAAAACCGAAGTTTTAAATTTGGGCATATTTTACATTAAGGCTAAATGTCCCGACACTAGTAAAATTTGTAGCCACTACGTGACAGCATCAAAATAAGTAAAATATTCTTTACCGATAACGTCTGAACCAATGGTCCGATTTTCGATCTGTAAAACGGCTTTGGGCGCCTTTTTAAAATAGAATTTACGCTACGATGACCTTTGCCCGGAAATCTAGAAAAAACGCGAACTTGAAATTAGTTCTCAAACTTTTGAGAACAAATTAAAAATGTCGGCTTATAGCGTGATGACGACATGCTTCGTGAATCCAACGCCGTGACAATCATACAAATCGGACGAATAGGAGCGTCGTAAAGTAAAATTTACGAAAACACCTCGCCCCCCCCCCTTCCCTTCTGAGGCGTTGCTTCACCCCCTCACCCGTTGTGGGCCTTCTGTCAGCGCGGCGGGACGGCCAGGCCCGGGGCCGTGCGACCAGCCCTGACGGAGCACATGGAACTTAAGAGACACGCAAACCACACAGTCGGTTTATGCGTTCGTCACATTGCATTTCCATCTATTTTCCACAATTATTAAACTAGAGATGCTATACTACTATTACAGACCGAGGTAAACGGCATAACTATGTTTTTCACATATTTACGTCAACCCTCAAAGTGTACTACTTATACCCAGAATTTCATATAGCAGGACCGACATTATTATTTTTCTTTCTATATTTTATAAATTATTATTCTAAATTTGTCATGGTAATGAAGTACGTTGCGGTAATCATGGCGGGTTCCTTTTACTTGATCTCTCGAAGCTCCATTTAGTTTCTCGCCTATCTCATAAAATTTCCTCAGATTGGAGTTTTGTTTTCACCTATGAATTTCTCTTAAAATGTTATAATTGTATACAGAATATCAGATAACAATGCCTAAATTAATATTTTTCAAAATTTGGCACGTAATGGGAGGGGGGGGGGTTGGTACATGATGACTAGAGGCTTCTCTTTGTTTGCCGTCTATCTCGCAAACAATTCGTCTGATTGGAGTTTTGTTTGCACCCATGAATTTCTCTTATGGTGTTCTACTTGTATAAAAATATCCGACGGCAGTGCCTAATTAATATTTTTCGAAATTTGGTACAAAATGGAGGGGTGTTTTGTACTTATGATTTGAGGCTTCCCTTTGTTTGCCGTATATTTGCTTTGCACCAATCAATTTCTTTTAATGTGTTCTACTTGCATACAAAACTACAGATAGCAGTGCTAAAATTAATATTTTTCGAAATTTGGCACGTAAGAAGACGTCGTTTTGTACTTTGCATATTTGAGGTTCCTTTTGTTTCTCGTCTATCTCAGATACTATTCGTCTGATTGGAGTTTGCCTTGCACCAATCAATTTCTTTTAATGTGTTTTACTTGCATACATATTAAGAAATAGCAGTTCCTAAATTAATATTTTTCGAAATTTGGCACGTAAGGGGGGGGGGTTGTTTTTAACTTTGCACAATTGAGGTACCATTTGTTTTTCGTCTATCTCGGAAACTATTTGTCTAATAGGGGTTTGCTTTGCACCAATCAATTTCTTTTTATATGTTTTAATTGCATACATAATTAAAGATAGCAATGATGAAATTAATATTTTTCGAAATTTGGCACGTAAGGGGGGGGGTCGTGTTGTACTTTGCATAATTGAGGTTCCTTTTGTTTTTCGTCTATCTCAGAAACTGTTCTTCTGATTGGATTTGCTTTACACCAATCAATTTCTTTTAATGTGTTTTACTTGTGTACATTATAAGAAATAGCAGTACTGAAATTAATATTTTTCGAAATTTAGCACGTAAGGGGGGGTCGTTTGTTACTTTGCACAATTGAGGTTCCTTTTGTTTTTCGTCTATCTCGGAAACTATTTGTCTGATTGGAGTTTGCTTTGCACCAATCAATTTCTTTGAATGTGTACAGAATGTATACAGAATTCGAGATAGCAGTGCTGAAAGTAATATTTTTCGAAATTTGGGACGTAATGGGGAGTGTTTTGTAATTGATGACTCTGGGCTTGACAATGATTCGCCTGTTTTATGGAAACTATTTGTCTGATTGGAGTTTTGCAACCATGAAATTCTCTTAAAGTGTTCTACTTGTATACAGAATATCTTATGGCAGTGCCTAACCTAATGTTTTTCGAAATTTGGCTGGTATTGGGAATCGGAAGCCACTGCAAGTCCTGTGCAAATCTGGCGTCTCCCACGGCGCCGCTTCAGAGATAGAGGCGAAGCGATGAGGAGACTGTTATTTTCAGGACGCGATATACAATTACTGGTAACATTGGGGAAAGTTTTATCTCGTAAACTACAAGAAATTTATAATTTTGAATTTCATGTTTCTTTTTATGCATGTAGCCGCAGCTATTTACAGTTTATTTTTAATATTACTTTTATTATTATTATTATTATTATTATTATTATTATTATTTATTATTATATTTTTAATTATATTAATAGTATTATTAATTTTGGTATTATATTATTAATATTAATAATTTTATTATATTTATTAGTAATATTTTATTATTATTTCTATTCGCATTTATTCAAATGTATCGAAATTAAGGGTTGATCTGCGAGACGCGACACGCTATGGCAGACATTAAATTTCTGTTGTACAGACTTTCGGGAAGGTAAAAAGAGAAAACACAAAGCTTTTGTGACTCACTAACGTAATTATGAAAATCTGTACAATTTTTTTGTGACATGAAAAAAGTAAATTATGGTAAATGAGTGGTTATCTCTGTGACGTCTTGCACTGAAGTGCGGTGCTGTTTTATTGAAAGAAATTTTTGTAAAACCTCAATTCATTGACCATTTTGTGCTTGAATTACAGGGCAGTATTCTCCTCTATATATTTTGTCTATTTGTTTTCCTTATTCTCGTATGATGTTTTAATTGTTGCCTATTAATACTTGGCGTAATATATTTGGGACAGCAAGTAGTTGCAGATTAA